GTGTGCGTGTGCCGTGTACGCGCCTGTGTCGTCATCGGAGGATGAGAGTAAACACGTTGACCGAAACGGTGCATGTGTCGTGTCTCAGCACCGGGGCCTCACTGGTTGCTGTTTGTCACAGGTATTTCCTGGTGGACTTCCACGCACCCACCACCACCGTGGAGAGCATGCTGGAGCACTTGTCTCGAGACACCGATGTGATCAGGCCCAACATCGTGCGGCACCCGCTGGCGCAGGAGGAGCCAGAGTGTGCGGGGATTGTCCCGGTGCCACTTGAAGAAAAACTGTATTCCACCAAGAGGAGGAAGTAGAGGACCCGGACTCCGCCTCTGGAGTTCTCTCTTGAGCACCAGAGGCTCAGCGACCGGCCTGGCGGTCTGACCTTTGTAAAGTGGGCCCCGGGGGCTGGTGGTTTTCCAGGGCTGGTTGAGTCCTGCTGCCTCCGCTTTGCCACAGTGAGGGGGCGGGGGGCTGCCCAGATTGGGCCCATTCGTGTCATCCTGGGTCAGTGGGGACTTTTCCCCTAAATAAACGAACGCCACTTGCAAGAGCAGTTTGTCAGAATTGCCCGGGACGGTGTCACCACGAAAAGTGAAGGCATGCGGTCACGTGCCGCAGGGGCCACTTCTGACCAGAGGAATACGTGCGGCCGAAAGCCTGGGGAGCTGTTTCGTTTCTTCTGGCACCCAAGCCTCCAGCATTGGGTGTGTGTATGGGGGCCCTCAGCTCCGCGCCTGGCCCCCAGCCCCAGCCCCCCTCATCCTCTCACCCGCCCTCCTGTGCGGAGCTGGGCCTCCGCTGCGAGGGCACAGAGAGGGCCTCCGAGGGGGGCTTGGCAAGGCAGCAGGTGAGCCCCGGTTGTCATCCCGGGCGGGGCAGGTGGGGGCAAGCGCAGGTGCGGGAGGAAGGCCGGGAGCCCCAGGGCGGCACCTCACGCTGGAGCGAATGCAGAGCGGAGCCTGGAGCCTGGCGGTGGGGGGTGGGGGCACCCCTTGCCCTTAGGGCCGGTGAAGCATCACATCCTTGGGGGGGGAGCTCTGTCATCTCCCTCAGAAATGCAGCCTGTCTCCCCTCCTTCCCCTGCTGTGGTGTATATGGCACTGTTCTGCCAAAGGATGTGGGTTTTATTCAGTTTATATTGTCCGTTTTCCTCCAGGTGGACTCTAAGGCCCTTGGGTGCGAATTTGATCTGGCTGCTTGGATAAACAGGGGTTTCTTTTCTTAATTGAAGTAGCGCTGTTTTATATCCTGGTTAGTAAGTTGACGTGGTGTGTGTGTGTGTGTGTGTGTGAGAGAGAGAAAGACATATTCCATGCGCACACACGCATACAGTTACGTATCCCCTCACGCTGCCCCTGCAGCTCTCCCACCACCGGGGCACCCTCCATTGTCCACGGAGCTTCCCACACCCTGTTCTCACCCTCCTCGGCTCTGTGCTCCGCTCTCAAGGGCGGGTCTAAGCGCTTGTCTCGTCCCTCTGACTCCTCTATCTTCCACAGACAAGCATCGCCGTCGGCGTTTCTCCTCTGGCTTGTTTCCGAGCATCACAGCTTCCAGCGCATCCGTGATGCTACGCACCGCCGAGTGTATCTTTACTGATGGCGAGTCGTGCCCCACGGTGCGGAGACCACACCTTTGCCCACGCCTCTGTTGTCGGGCGCTTAGGTTGCAACACCGCAGGGCTGTCGTGAGCAGTGCGGTGGGCACAGGAGTGCAGCTTGACGAAGAGGAATTTTCCAGGAGAAGCTGAGCCATCTCAGGTTAAGGTGGCCAGGCCGTGACAGCCTGGGCCTCCGGGGCCCTGGGGGGGAGAACAGTTCGGTCAGAAACTGGGTGAAGATCACTGAGGAAAACCACAATGAAATACCCATCGACTTAAAAGTCACAAGCTCACAAGTGGGAGTTGGCACTGGGTAGCAAGACCATGTAAGGAAAGCACGCCCTGTCGGCCTTTACGCAGCGTTAAGGCACCAGGGTGTTCACCCATCTCCTAGCGTAAAATAAAAAATGGAACCTCCCCTAAACAAATTGAAAATAGGAGACTCTTGATATAGGTCGTGGATGGATTCACTTGACCAGCTTGAAGAAGCAACTGCTGAGAAAATAGGCCCCTCCGGGTGAGAGTCCATGGCAGTTAGACGGTACCTTGTAGTCTTTTAGACTCTTGAAATTCTTATGCAAATAAAATATATTTGCACCCAAAAAAGCAACCAGTTTTGCAAAGCTAATAGTAAAAAGAAATGACACACAGTGTGGAGGGGAATTGGGACAACGCAGCGGGAGTTCCGCTAGCAGGTGGGCGCCTGCGTGGGGCGCCCTGAGCAGGGCTGAGGAGCAGAGAACCCCGTTCCTCCTGTGCAGTGTGCACGAGGTGGGTGCGGCGGCCCTGGAGCCGGCCAGTCCCGCCATGGAGTCCTGCGCCCTCCGGGGCCTGACCTTGGCCCTGACCGCTGCAGCCTGGTAACCCACCCTGAGACCCAGAGTGCCCCGGAAGGCTGGTGCAAGCCTGGGTGGGCTCGAAGAGGACCCAGGGAGCCGTGGAGGCTCCACGCCTGCCCCAGGCCGGCTCCACCCGCAGGAGAGTATCATGCACCTTGGGGTGCATCATGCCTCCCCTCCCCCCGCAGGAGTTCAGGGTAACTAGCCAGTGTCCGGGCTTTTATTTGCCTCCGGACCTCATCTGAATGCTGTTGGGACTCGCTCTGAGACTGGGCCTGCTGGTGGGTGTGGCGTGGGTGTGGCTGCCGGCTTCCGGCCCGTCCAGTGTCTCCTTTCTCCCCTGCGCCCTCTGTAACTTCCCGGCCACTGCAGCCTCCAGGCCCGGGCGCGAGCCCACTTGCGGGTGCCCACAGCTGCTCCCGGTGCCCACCGCCCTGCCCACGGGTCCACGCGCCCCCCTGGACCCGAGGCCGTGGGTGAGAGCCGCATAAAAGCCTGGGCATCACCCTGCAGGGGGCTGTAAGATGGCGATGGTCTAAGCTGGGACCTGGAGGATGGGGGGGCGCTTGGGGGTGGCTGGGTGAGGTGCTGGGCGAACGCAGTTCTGTCAGATGGCTTTAGGGGTTCCCCCCTTTCTGACCCTGTCTAGTTTTAAAGAAACAATGACCTTGTGCTGAAGAACATAATTGAACTATTTCCAGGGGAGGGTGGGGAGGACTCTGGTGCCTCGGGGGCGTGAAGCCGAGATGATCACACCAGAGAGGAGAAAGCCTCTCCCTTGCAGATTACCAGTGTGATGTGAAACAACGGTGCTACATTATGTCCAGTAACAACGAAGGCCAAGGGAGCGAAGCAACGGGTGAATCTGAAGCCTGCGGTGTGTATGGCACCGGCCTAGCCAGGGCGTTAGTGGGCGCTGTGCGAGTCTCCGAGGGTGGGGGGGGTTCTTCATGACGCACCTCTAGGCGTGAGGAGAGACCCAAAAGAGCCCTATTATTTAGCTTAAAAAATGTAAGCTGGGGGGCCCTGCCTGGTGGCTCAGCGGGTTAAAGCGCTGCACTAAGAAGCTAAAGCCACCTCCGCATGAGTTCGATCCCCGCCTGCCCCGGAGGTGACCACATGGCGCGGCAGACCTCTCCTGACCCTCCCGCTGCTCCCCTCAGCAGTGTACTTCGTCCATCTGCCTGTCTCCAGTGAATCCTCTCACCCCCGCACCTCTGGCTTGTACCACAGTTCTGTATGCACAAATAAATCTTTAAAAAAAAAAAAAAAAAGCTGGTGAAGGGTTTTAGGTGAAGATACAGACAAGTTGGGCAGAGGCCAGAGATGAGGTGACCTTCGCTGGATGAAGCGAGAGCTTGAAGAGCACATCCTTTTGGGGCAGGGACTGAGCGCCAGGCCAGGCCTGCTCAGGCCGGGAGGACGGACTGCAGGCACCACCATGCACCCCAGCAGAGGCAGGCAGACTCCCGCAGCCCCAGCGTGCCAGCGGGGAGTTTAATCTCGCGCTATGGATGAGGCCAGAACTCGGACTGTCTGTCCTCGCGGGGCTGTGCCGGAGACGGGCGAGCTGCCAGGCACTGTCCCTCCAGCCTGGATGTTCCAGGTGACGAGCACCTTGGGTCCAGAGCCCCTTGGGCCATGAGATGCACCTTTATGATTTTCTTCCTTTCTCCCATCCAGGGAGGGTCCGTATGGAGATTTTGAGATAAAGAGTTTAGGATTTTCTCTCTCAGAGGTTTGTCAAGAAAAAACAGCCCACATTTAGAAACAGGCTGTTTGCAAGGGGCTCTCCTGTCAGTGCGCCAGACACAGATGTCACTGTGAACAGGCTGACTTCTGTCCCTCAGCGAGGATGGTAAAGAGGTGACGCTCTTGCCCCCAGCGAGGACATTAACCCTGCAGTCACGTTAACCTTCCACTGTGTTTTAAGTGCCAGCAAATTCTGCAGATACTCTTTAAACCATCTTTGATGACTTAAACTTTGGATTCCAGTTCCTTTTATATTTTTCATGCCTGTTCATGGGTTTAACTTTTGGAAAATTAGCCTTTGACAGGAGAGAGGAAAGGTAGCATTAGGGTGAAGACTTTCAGACATGACATTCCCTGCAGGAGAAGGACTCCAGCTCTCACGGAAGCTGCGATAAGTAGCCAGCCCCTCAGTGAACGGCGGGTAACTGGAGTTTCTTCCAACCGGGACAGCAGGCGGAGAGCAAGTTCCATAGGATTGGGGTGAGGGCCAGCATGCCCCTTGGGTGATAGATGAGGACGAGATGGGAGCCCTGGACGGATCCAGGTAGCACACTGTGGAGTCAGATTTCAGAGGCAGAGGCCCGGGGAGAGCTGAGTCTGAGGAGAGCTGAGTCTAATTTTTATTGGGGGGGGAGGGTGGCCACAGGAGGCCTGAGCTCCCTGGAGCAGAGGGCCCCTGGGGGGAGTTGTCCTCCTCCCTGCCCAGGGCTGGCAAAGCAGCTCCTGCTCCCTAGTGCCTGGTGGGACCCAAGGTGCACAGGGGAGCCAGAGCCCAACCATGGGCAGGTCGCAGCCTGGCATCCGTGGGGCTGCACCTCCATATGGGGTGATTAAACTCCTCTGCCCACCTGCCACCCTGGGGTGGCCCGTCTGGCCTCGGGTGCCAATCTCAGGATGGGCCCCAGGCTGCTGGCCCCCAAAGTAGAGTTCAGGAGTCACTCGGGGGGCTGGGAGGGCTGTGGATGGCGAGAGACTGGGATAAGGGTGGGTGGGGGTGCAGGAGCTGTAGAAGGCTGGAGATGGCCAGAAGGAGCACTGGTGCCAGGGGCCAGCGTCGAGCCAGCAGGTCCCAGCATGGCAGGTGTGAGCAGAGGCCCAAGCATTAAAGTGCGTTCAGGTGGTACCACAGCACAGTGAGGTCGCTGCCTGCTCAGGCCCGAGGCCCGAGACAGGTAACCCCACACACCAACCTCTGTGGGCTGGCTTAGTCCTAGGACTGTCTCGAAAAACAGCCTCTGCCATGAGGGCGCCACAGGGAAAGTTGAGGATGTGCTGGGCCCCCAGCGCCCTGGAAAGACACGTGCAGGTCGCAGCCTGGCATCTGTGGGGCTGCACCTCCATATGGGGGTGCTTAAACTCCTCTGCCCACCTACCACCCTGGGGTGGCCCGTCTGGCCTCTGGTGCCAATCTCGGGATGGGCCCCAGGCTGCTGGCCCCCAAAGTAGAGTTCAGGAGTCACTCGGGGGGCTGAAGCTTGAGGCATCCCCCAAGGCAAGCGAAGCCTCCTGTCCACTCAGTGTGGGGGCCTGGGAGGGTTCAGGGCCCCCGCCACAGCTGCAAACTCTGCTTTTATCTCTGGTTTGAGCCCGTCTGCTTTTGATTATCGTTAGGTTTGAAAAGGGAAGAGGCACATACGGTCCAGTTCCGTTTTCTTTCTCGGATGGGGTAAGAAAGCTTATTTATAGTAGAACTGGGTTTTTTCCACTGTGGCATGTTTAATTTTGTGACTCTGCTGTCCTGACTTTTGCTTCTTGTAGGGGAAGCACAGAGGAACATGCCATTGCTGTGTGGGGAAAAATGCAACCTCCTCTTAGTCATTCTTTACTCCATGACTTTACCTGAGTCAGTAGCTTCACATTTGGGGGTTTTGCGAAGAGTATTTTTATTTATTTGTGTGTACAAGAACTGAGGTATAGGCCAGAGGTGCAGGGGGGGAAGAGAATTCACTAGAGACAGGGTGAGAAGCAAAGTGGAGGGTGATCTACTGAAACACACTGCTGAGGGGAGAACGTTGGCGGGACAGGAGAGGTCTGCTGTGCCATGCGGGTTACTACCTGGGCAAGGAATCGAACTCATGCTGTGAATAGCTTCACAGTGCTGCGGCTTAACCCACTGAGTCACCAGGGAGGCCCCCATTTAATCCATTTTGGATTAATTTTTGGATATAGTGTTCAGAATAGTCTAGTTTCATTCTTTTGATTGTGGTTGTCTATCATGTCTTCTGCATACAGATTGTTCCTAACACCATATACTGATGAGACTTGGTCCATTGGATGCTCTTATTTTGACTCCTGAGTCATCAATTACTTGTTCATACATGTGTAGGGTTATTTTTGAACTTTTAGTTCTGTTCCAGTGATCTGCATGTCTGTTTTTATTCCAATACTATGCTGCTTTGATTACTATCACTTTGGGGTATAATTTGAAGGCATTTTTGTTCTTTTTTCTTGAGATTGTTTTGTCTATTTGGGGTTACTTGTAATTCTAAATAAACATTGTAGCTTTTTTTTCTATTTTTGTGAAGAATGCTGTTGGGATTTTGATATGGATTTCAATGACATCATCTTGTTGATGTGATGTCACATGGTAATTGAGTGTGTATGTGGGTTGGCTTTGCATCCTTGCGATAAGTCCTACTTGACCATATTGTGTTTTTTTTTAATTAAAACAAATGATAATAGTTTATTTTTACATCATTTTGTGCCTTTTTCTATCTCAGTTGTAATCCCCGTGGGCTTCCCATCACCAGATCACCCGTGTGCCATCACTGTAGTCCAGTGCACTTCCCTTTCCCCCATTTTTGATCCCATTCCCTACTCCACCCTTGAAAAATGTCTCTGGTATATAATTGTTCATCATTATTATTATTTTCCCTGGTCCTTTATACTCCTGCTATGAGTAAAGCCATCTGGTATTTTTCCTTTTCTTTCTGGCTTATTTCACAGAGCATGATCCCTTCCAGCTCCACCCATGTTGCTGCAAAAGGCATGAGTTTTATCTTTTTTGACTGCTGAGTAATATTTCAGTGTGTATATATGTACCACATCTTTTTAATCCAGTCATCTACTTTTGGGCATTTGGGTTGATTCCATGAAAGCAGCAATAAACAGCCATGTTGTATCTTTTAACATATTGATGAATTTATTGTTCTAGCATTTTTAATTTTTATTGAGGTAACATTGGCTTACAACACTGTATGGGATTCAGAGGTAGAGGATCACACCTCTACCTCTGATGCATGTCCCAAACCACACCCACCACCAAGGCACCCATAGCCTAGTGTACCTCCTCCCCCTTCCCTTCTTAGACCCTCAATTGCATAGGTTTCTAGGGTTTGATTTTGGTTTTGTTGTGTATGACCCTTTCATTCATGTCTTTAATCTGCTTTGAGTTAATTTTTTGTGCAAGCTATGCAATGTTGATGTAATTTTTTTTCTTTTTCTTCTTTTTTTTTTTTTTTTGCCTGTGCCTGTACAGTTTTCCAACATCATTTGCTAAGGAGACTCTCTTTTCTCCACTGCATATTCTTGGCGTTTTGCCCATAGATTTGCAGATGTGCTTCTGGGCTCTCGACTGTTCCATCAGTTAGTCTGTTTTAGTGCCAACCTATTTTGATTATTATAGCTTTGTAGTATAGTTTAAAGTCTGGGCGTGTGATGCCTCCACTCTTCTCCTTCTGCCTCTTCTTTTTTAAAAAAGATTTATTTATGCTTGTAGAACTAGGGTACAGACCAGAGGTTGGTGGGTGAGAAGATTCACCAGAGACAGAATGGCAAGCAGAACAGGCAGATGTACTGAAAGACACTGCAGTGGGCAGGTCAGAAGAGGTCTGCCGTTCCATGTAGGTCAGTTCCCTGGTGGGGGATCGAACTCGTGCTACAGTGGCTTTGGAGAGCTTCATAATGTGGTACTTTAACCTGTTGTGCCACCAGGGAGAGCCCCCCTCCATCTTTTTTTTAAAATCAGGATTGCTATGGCTACTCAGGGTCTTTAGTAGTTCCATATGAATTTATTTATTTATTTATTTTTAAGAATTGCCATTGGAATCTTGATAAGAATTGCATTAAATCTATATATTGCTTTGGGTAGGATTGTCCTTTTATCTATTTGTTAGTATCCATTTTGAGGAAATTTGCATCTATGTTCATCAAAGATACTGGCCTACAGTTTTCTTTTTTTGGTGATGTCCCTGTCTGGTTTTGGAATTAGGGCAATGTTTGCCTCATAAATACATTTGGAAGTTATCCTGCTTTTCAATTTTTTGGGAAGCGTTTGAGAAGGGGAGATATTAATTCTTTCTTAAAGGCCTACCTG